CCCCATCTTGGAGTCTAGGCCCCTCATCACATGGCAGCGGCCATATTTGTGGTCAGACACGCAAGACTGCACATGCGATGTCTTCAAGCATGGCTCCATTCCGTATACCTCCCCCACAAACACAGCATTCACAAACTTTTATCTATATCAGGGTGAGTCAAGGATTCACTACTGTGATGGACACAGCCCGACAAGGTCTATGTTGGAGTTCTGTTCCTATCACCATCACCAGCTATGATCCTAACCACCGATGCCTCCTTAATTGCTTGGGAAACGCATCTACACACACACATAGTGCAGAGCAGATGGTCTTACGCATCAACCTCCTAGAGCTACGAGTGGTTTGCAATGCCTGCTGATGTTGTTCTTCTTCTCAAACAGTATACCGTAAGAGTGTTGACGGACAATCTTGCCTTCATGTATTATATCAGACAGGGCGGGGTGAGGTACCACTTGTTATGCATGGAGACAATCAAACTGTTCTGGATAAACCAGTTCCACATTTCTATTTCAGCCACGTACCTTCTGGGACACCAGAATACCATCACAGACATACAAAGCAGGACATTCTCACACGATCACAAGTGGGAGCTGGACATGCGAGCACTTCACCCCATATTCAATCATCCCACCATAGATCTTGGACACTCACCACAACTCCTGCTGCCCTCAATTCTGTTCTAGAGTGGGACTGGGGCACAGAGTGCTGCAGGATGCATTCCTCATAACATGGGATGCACTTCTCCTGTAAGCCGCCCCCCCCCCCACCCCCGTCTTCGCAAAATACAGGCCGACTGTGTGTAGATCATACTAATAGCTCCAACCTGGCCACGACAGGCCTGGTATACTTACCATCACGCGTGGAAGGTATGCTGACTGATTTCTCTCCACCTAACACTGTGGCTCCTTTCACAGGACTCAGGATGCATCCCAATCCAAATGCTCCCCCTCAAAGCCTGGCTCCTCTTCTGGTGTCAGGATATTGACTGCATCTGAGCAGGTTAAGATACTTTTGAATAACAGATGTGACACGACTAAACACGTGTACATTCACAATGAGATTTTATTGCTGGTGCGCATCACACGTGGTTGATGCTGCACAGTTATTCTTGATTACATTCTACGCCTTAAGCAGTCAGGATTGGCCAATAGTTCTATTAGGGTACAGTTGACAGCAATCTCTTCTTTTCATTCCCTCAGTGATGGCCACTCCATCTTCGCATACCTGCTCACGAAGCTTCTTGAAGGGTATTGAAAAATCTCTTATCCTCATATACGAGACCCTACCCCAGCCTGGAACCTAGCCCAGTCCTATGTTCTCTGTCTAGATCAACGTTTCTCTGATACGGCCACTGTGGCTGCATACGGCCACCAGGGGCTTTTCTTGCGGCCACAGCCTCCTGGGCAGTGATTGGGGGGCGGGGGTGGGGGGGCAAGGAGGGGTTGGGCAGTGATTGGGGGGCGGGGGGGGGCAAGGAGGCGTTGGGCCCTGCCCCCCTCTTGAGCCACAAACATTGGAGGAGCAGACAGCCATTGTGAGTTCCCCACCTTCCTGGGGGTGGTGGAGCTCAGGCTTCAGCCCTGGTGTAGCAGGCTCTGGCCACACGGTAGTGGGCTCTTACTGTGGGGCTTCAGGCTCTGGGCTTTGGCTGCAAAGCGGTGGGCTCCATCCCCTGGCCGCTGGGCTTCAGGCTACGGCTGCTGGCCTTTGGGCTCGGGCTCACGCCCCCTCCCCCTTATCAATCCTGGCCCCCGCTGCCGCCCTGTCCCCTCACCCATCCACTCCATCACCCTTGGCTTCCACTGCTTCCCTACCCATGTTCCCATCCAAGGCTTAATTTGTCCCCCAGCTTGCCAGGGCTGAGTAAGTCTGCTGTGAAAAATATTTGCATGTTTAATATCACGTTTCACTGCTTCCCAGCTAGCTAACAAGTCTGCTTTGAAAAGTGACATTAACAAACATACAAATATCACTTTTCACAGAAGCAGCCTTACTAGCTAGCAAGTCTTTTTAAAAAAAAAAAAAAAAAAAAACCTTGCAACCAAAAAAGCAAAAGAAACAACAACAAAAAAGATAAGAACATGCAAAGCACCTTATTTGTGTTTCTATTCTGTTACGGCTCTCATGGCATATCCACCATAAGTGCTTTATAAAGACAAAGTTACACTACGCCCACACCCAAGATTCTTACCTAAGGTCCCAACATCTTTTCATCTCAAACAACCGATACACTTCCCTTTCTTTTTCCTGAAGCCTCACCGTAATCAACAGGAGGCAGCGCTACACACCCTGGACGTGTGGCATGCATTGGCCTTCTACTTGGACAGGACTAAACCCTTCCGGAAATCACCATGATTATTCCTCTCCACCATCGAAAGTTCCAGAGGTACTGCTATATCTAAACAACACCTTGCTAAATGGATC